CGATTGACGAAAGGCACATTCATGACGTTTAGATAACTTACGGGAGGATAATTCTTTCTACGGATGGAAGGAAATGAAATTATTTAAGTGAACAAATTATTTACCTTGTTACTTTTAAGGAAAACTTTCAGCGCTCTAATTTTTATTTTTTTTTTTTTTTTTTTTTTTTTGTACTTAGGTTTCATTTTTACGTTTACGATGCTTTATGGAAAATATAAAGAAATTAAAAATAAGACTGTTAATAGTGAGATTAAATTTCATAAGAAAAAGGTATCTAATTAATTTAGGTACCTTTCTTATGAAATTTTATCAAAAGTGTACATAAAATACTATAATTTTATGTACATTTATTACATTTTACTGTGTTATTTGTATTTCCATTCATTTTATTATTAATTTTGATATTTCATTTATGGAAAAATGTCATAACTGAGATTAATATAAAAATAAGATCATATAAATTAAAGTTTAGCAGTAGTTAAATTTCATAAGATGATACTGTTACTTGTAGGTACCCTTCTCAGTTGAAATTGAAAACTCAAATTAACTTCTCCATACGTGTTTCGCAAAAAAGTAAAGGGCTTAACAGCGGAGAACAATGCTGAACTCAAATAATGCAACTAAATTGTATTCTGGTTGGTCTTCCGTACTTGATAATTACTGTCCGACTATAAACACAAAATTACATTTCTTAATTACCATGGCTAATCTGATTGGTCCAAATTATACAATTTTCAAAGCGCTAGACAATGACAATCTCATTTTTTGACATTTTGAAAGGTTGATGTTGCTTTTAACTAATGTTAAAATATTTTTTAAAATTCAATTTAAACATTTTTTAAAAATATTTTTAAAATTAAAGAAATAAGAAATAATTGTATTAAAAATTCAATTTTCATTGAAAAAATTTTTTGCTTTCAGAAAATATTGTCCATATTCATAAAAACAAATTAAAACAAATAAAAGCATTTGAAACTAAATAATATATTTGTTTTATTGAGTTTTGTATGTTACAATTCACAGCTGATTTTCAGGTACGTTGGCCAAAAAAAAAAAAAAACATGATTTGCATTCTTCAAAGCCTTGTGCTTTTAACTATTGTAATCACTAAAACCGATGGTCTCAATTTCTAGAGTTTTTCATAAAATTAGTTATGGGGTGTTAATAAATATAAAAAAAATATTTCTGCCATGACTTTAATAAAAAAAAAAATATATTTATAATAATTTTTCGATCATCTGTGAATAGTTTCTGAAAGTTTCATTAACATCTGACAATTATTTTATTTTTTGCAAGATTTTCCAAATTAATGTGTGTAAATACAAAAAAAAATATTAAAAATTATCTATTATTTTTACCCCTTGTTGCGACAAAGAGAAACAAGGTTTTTAAATCAAAATTTAGAATATTCTAAAAAAATTGGAAAAATTTTTAAAAATAATTAAAAAAAAAATTTAGTCTATCCTCTTCATAAAAAAATAAGCATTTTGACGATAAAATTTTGTTTTCATAAACTTTGGCGTCTTTTTCATCAGACTATGCTCTATGTTTTAGCGATTCCGTGGAGTGACTTAGGTTAAAAAAAACCCAGGTTGTTTATGTGTGTGTGTGTGTGTGTGTGTGTGTGTGTGTGTTCCTTTATATATGGGATCGGATTTCTTACATTTTTCAGCCGATAAAACAAACATCCACATTTTTTTTTTTTTTTCATTATTTCTTATTGTCTTGCACACTTTTTTTTTTATTTACATTCAGAATGCTTTAAAATTCCATTTACAAGACAATTGTTTATAATAAAATTCTATTCATCAATCGATAGACTCATAACGATTGTAAACAATGTTTTTGTTTGAATTTGGGTTTGACCAATTCGTAAAAAAAAAAAAAAAATTAAGACATGCGTGTCCGTCAACCTTAAACAATAATCTTTTTTCAATTTTATTTTTTCAGTCTTTATGATGGTCGATACTTGATCTATCTCTTATTGTTACATCCCAATTTAACGCCAGGCTCTACTGCTAGTATATTTAATAAATATATATATATGACTATAGAGTTTCGTAAATGTATTCTCTGGGAATCGATTTGTCCAGGGTATTATATATATATATATATATATATATATATATATATATATATATATATATATATATATATATATATATATAAGAAATTGCGTATTCATTTTAAAGATTTAAATAAATTTAAATAACGTCATTATTTATTTCCATTTTAATTTTCAGATTCTTAATTTCTTTATATTTATTTTTTTTCTATTATGAATCCATTACATTCATTTATGTGCCAATACCCTTGGGAAAGGGATGGCAACTTATCTACCAGAAAGAAAATGGCAACCTGCTTTTTCAATTCATGTATCGAAAGATTTTTAAATTGCCTAAAAATTGTATCACGCATTATAAAATAACTTGATTTGAGGGTCTTCATTTTTTTTGATTTGTTCTTTGTCAAGGTTTAAATGTTCATTCAGCTTTTTTTAAAATGCTTTTTAACCCCATCTTGTTGGGACAGAAAAAGATGATCAGTAATTTTCAGATAGAAATTTAATTCTAACTTTCAAGCTAAGCTTATCCTATGTAACATATAACTGTTGATTGCCTCCAACATGAATCAGTCTCTCGCCTCTTAATGTTGACTTCAATGTTCACTTTTATATTTATATTGAAAATGGTAAATAATAAAGAATTCTTTATAGTTGGTTCACATATTTTAATAATTTAGTAAATGTTTATAAATTTATGAATAAAAATTTTTTTTCACATTTATGCCCTTAGATTTTATGCCATTAGTAAATGATAAATATTGCATTGCATTAGTTCTAATTGTATTAGCTTTTAAAATGTTGTAAATATAAAATTACTTTTGTAAATAAACAAGCTAATAAATAAATAGTGTTTCATATTCTTGTTTTAAATTCTCAAGAACAAAAAATATATAAATTCTCTTACATCGTATGTTTAGGTCTTATTAACACCTACTAATCTCTTTTTACAACAAAACATTGCTGAGGATGGACGATTCCAATAAAATAATATTCACCATGTCAAAATTTTTAAAAAAACATCCTTTTTGACTGTTCCATTTTTTTATGACGATCTAAAAAATACACAAGTGAAGGCTTTAAGAAAACTTTATTAAACTGAGAATACAAGGTTCGCGTATAGTGTCGTTTTATAGTCCCAGTAAACAGAAACAGTTCTCTCAAAGAGGAGAGATAACAAAACAAAATTAAAACCAATTTTTTTTATTTTATATAAAACTAAGTTTGTCGACCATTATTTAAAAGATTTAACCCCCTTTTTTAATTAGAAATGTGAAAGTATTTTGTTTTAATCTTGCTCTTAAATAAAAATAACATGAATATAGTTTCGTGATCCTTCAAGGTATAATCAAAAATGGCAAATGTCCATTTGGCTCTGTTGAACGAACCAATTGTGATAGATGTCATCTTTATATCGAAAGTATTCAGTATTTTTGAGTAAGATATTCTTAAAATGGGCTAGATTCTTGTTTGGGTACCAGTGGGGTTAGTAGAAAAAAATCCGTCTGCCAACACTAAGTTAAATCGTAAATCTGTTGTAAACAGTCCAGAAGGTGATTAAAATAGTTAAAATTGGGGTCATTTGAAATCTTTTATTTCCCCTCGCAACAGCGGAAACAAAAAAACATTTCACTCAAAAATTGTAAATTTTTTTCTTCAAAATTTAACGGCCTTTATTTTATTAACAATTTTTTTTTTTGGTCACACCATTCAATTGGAAGAAAGAACATTACCATAGTTTTTCTGATACTTAAAAAAGCAGGTTTTGCGATTTTTAAAAATTCCTTTGGCATGCCATATCAAAACACGAACTATTTTTCGAGGATTCTATATTTTTTTTTTGGGGGTTTATGTAAAAAAATGGCCTTATATCACTGAATGGACTATTAAATCCTTCAATGTACTTTTCACATTGGCATTTTATATGAAAAAAGAATATGGAAGCTGGTCATTTTATATATAACAATCAAAATATCCTCGTATATGAAAAAAATCAATATAATGGATATCCAATTGACTTGAAAAAAAATTGTATTTTTGACTAAGTTAAATCGTAAATCTGTTTTTAAACAGGTTTAAATCTTTCAACCCTTTTAACGCAACAGCAATTTTTTTATCTTTATTCAATTTTGTTTGTTCAAAATTTAAGTTCTGAAAAAAAAAGCAACGGTAAAAAAAAAAAATTTGAATTTTTTTGAATGGTGAATAATAAAATTCAACCCTTTCATTTTTTCTGATAATTAAAAATAATTTTGTTTTTTTTTTTTCTTTTCCATAACTTTATAATAATACAATTTTATGAATTCTTTTCGGTGACTTTTTTATTTTTATTTTTTTTTTTTCATTTTAATTTCACTTTCAAAAAAAGATCAACAAAACACAGAATCAAATTTAAAATGTTCTTCCAATTGAGAATTATTTCAAAGATATTTTTATTTTTTTTCGAGAAAAATGTAGTTTTTTAGTGTTCTTTTTTTTTTCCTTTTCAAGGTCAAATCATTTTCTTTAACAACAGAATCAAAATTTATTTTTTAATTTTTCCATTTTTATTTTTAGATATAAAAATGATTTTCAAATAATTCAAATAATGTTCAAACTTTTTTGAATCAAAATTTCAATTTGTGATTTTTAGAAGACAAATTTTAAGAATATGTCCTTTTTTATTTTGATTTTTTTTCAGAAAAATATTTTAATTGGGGGTTTTATCTTTTAGTGAATTCTTTCCCCAGAACAATTTGTTTAAAGAATAGAAAATTAAGCGGAAAATAAATTTATTTTCTTTTTTTTTTTTCAAAAAAATTTTTTTTCCCCTTTTAAAAATTTGAAAATGCTACAGTGAAATACATATAGACACATGTTTTTTTTTCTAACAATTTAATTCTTTCTTTTTTTTTAATTCAGGTGAAAAAATTAAATTTCTTTTAACTCTGATTTTAATATGTTTCTTTTAGTGCAAATCTTTTCCTTTTTTTTTCCATTCCTGAGTTTTTCTTTCTTTCTTTTCTTTTTCTTTTATTTCTTTCTTTTTTCTTTCTTTATTTCCTTACGTTTTTTTCATTTTCTTTTAAAGGTTTTCCTTTCTCTTTTTCTTTCTTTCTTTTTCCAGAATATTTTTCATCGTTCTTTTTATTTAAAGTTTTTTCTTTGTTTTCTTTCTTTTTCAAGAATCTTTAACCTTTGGTCTCTTTTATAATACTTTTCAATATTTCTTTCCTTGGAACACTTTCTTTTTTTTTCTATTTTATTTCTCATTTGTTTCTTTTTCAACAATTTTTTCTGTTTTCACAAAAATCTTTCTTTCTTTCTTTCTTTCTTTTGTTTAGAAAAAAATTTTCTTTTTGTTCAAAACGTGGGGAAACGGATTCAATTTTTTTTCATTAACATCTTTATTTCAAAATGGGAATTTAAATTTTACGTTTTTTTTTCTTTTTTTTCTTTTTTTTTTTCTTTCTTTCTTTTCTTTCTTTCTTTCTTTCACAATTTTCTCCTATTCTTTCGTTCAACGGTTTCTTTCTTTTAACAATATGAAAATGCTTTTTTTTGTTTTTTTTTTTTTTTAATCAAACGATTTTTTGATCTTTCTTTTATTTTCTTTATTCTTTTTTCTTCAAATTTCAACTTTTCTTTTCTTTCCTTTTTTTCTTTTTTTTTAACTGCTTTTCTTTTCAATATTTTATTTTCTTTTTTTCAATCTTTTCTTTTTTTCATTTTTTATTTCTTTTAACAAACTTTTTTTGTCTTTCTTTTTTCTTTCTTTTCTTTTTTCTTTCTTTCCATTTTTCTTTTCTTTTTTCCTTTTTTTTCAATTTTTCTTTTTTTTCTGTCTTTTCTTTCTTTTTTTTTTCTCTTTTCTTTTTCTTTTTTCACATTTCTTTTATTTTTTCAACTTTCTTTTATTTTATTTGTTTCTTTTTTTTTTTCTTTCTTTTTACTTTTTTCAGTGCATCTTTTCCTTCGTTTTTATTTTTATTTCATTGTTTTTTTTTCCAAGATTTCTTTGAAAATTTTTTCTTTTTTTCTTTCTTTCTTTCTTTCAATAAAACTGGATTTTTTTATTTCTTTTTCTTGTATGCTTTTTCTTTCTTTATTTCTTTTCTTTTATTTTCTTTCTTTTTGTCTTTCTTTTTCTTTCTTTTTTATTTTCTTTCTTTCAAAAACTTATCTCTTTTTTCACGTTTCTTTTCATTCTTTCTTTTATTTCAACAATTTATCTTTGTCTTTTTTTTTTTCTTTCACCTTTTTTTTCTTTCTTTCTTTCTTTCTTTTTTATCTTTTTTCTTTTTTTCTTTCTTTTTCTTTCTTTCTTTCTTATCTCTTTCTTCGTTTTCTTTTCCATTTCTTTTCTTTTTTCTCCATTTATTTTTTTTATTTTTTTTTTTCTTGTTTTTTTTCTGTCTTTCACATTTGTGTTTATTTGTTTTTTTTTTTAATTTTTTTTTGATAACTCTCTGATAAAGAATCAGATAACTCTCTGACTCCTTGCCCGCAGTTCCCCGATAACATCATTGTGCTTTTTCATTCCCAAACAATTGAGCATCACTTTAGCACAGGATTATTTGAAGAAATTGTCTGTAGAGAGATGGTCTAATTACTGGACAGTAGTGAGGTCATTTTTTCCAATACCAACGTATTTGTACAAACAAAGGAATTTATTTATATTCTTTTCTTTTAGAACGACATTGAGCTTCTTGCTGAATGTCGTACAAGAATATGTGTTCGTGAAAACTGAAGATTTCGTCAAGTGGTAGGAATTGGTTTCGTGTCAGCATCAGGTCATCTGAAGATCACATTGAGGCGGGAATTTGACAGTCCCCATGTTGACTCCGATTACGATGTTCACTATCTATCTATCTATCTATCTATCTATCTATCTATCTATCTATCTTTTTTACCGTCTATCTTAGCATCTATCCTCCTTCCTATCTCTTTCGCTCTTTCTTTTCCTCTCACTTCTATCTATCTATCTATCTATCTATCTATCTATCTATCTATCTATCTATCTATCTATCTATCTATCTATCTATCTTAGTCTCTTTGTCTCTTCGTCTCTATCTATCTATCTATCTATTCTATCTATCTATCTATCTATCTATCTATCTATCTATCTATCTACGTCCGTTCATAATCTATATATCTATCGATCTATTATAAAAATCTCCGTCCATTCATTATCTATCTATCTATCTATCTATCTATCTATCTATCTATCTATCTATCTATCTATGCCAGTTCATTTCTATCTATCTATCTATCTATCTATCTATCTATCTATCTATCTATCTATCTATCTATCTACGTCCATTCATAATCTATATATCTATCGATCTATTAAAAAAAATATACTAGACTTCACTCCATTTTAGGCTCGTGAGACACTCAAGAGAGATGTTTACCGTTAAAATGGTTACACTGAAAGCTGTGTGTGATAAAGGAGGTGTTAAGCCGTGAAGATTATGAGTATAAGGAGTGTAAATAACGATTGACCCATAACTTGAAGAGTTTAAGATTTTAGTGATTAGGAAACCCCCCACGCGGGAATCTGTTCTGAAAAGTAGCAGTTCTTTGGGAAAAGTTGTCAGAATAGAACGTTCTCTTTATATTTGAAATACGGAGAAAATGACGGTGAATTGTGCCTGTGGAAATAGCCTGGCCTCGCCTAGTTTTCATGATCTTAAATGGTGAAACTAAAGAATAGAGCTCCTCTGAACATTTGCCATAGAAATAGCGATAGGTTCGCTACACAGTTTCTATGGAGAAGAGGTTACAGTAAGTTAGGATCATCTGTCAACTTAGCTCGCCACAAGCACCGACGTAAAGATTCTATTCCCTTACACCAAAAGGAAGCATTAATAACACTGGCTGCTCGGTCAGTAAATACCAAATGTTTCCTTATAGGGAAACGACTATTTTCACTATTCTTTCTTATGATATGCCATGTCATTTCAGGACGTAGGCGATCATGGCTCTCCACTTCCCCCTATCCTTTGTAGCTCTTAATAAGTTTCGTCCATCTCCCACCTCCTCCGGACTCTGTTCTGTCATCTACTTGCTTAAACCCGCCAGGTATGTCATGCGTTGCTTTCCCTTGTCTCTTTTCCCCTATATTCGACCTGTGAGTATCAGATTCTCCAAGCCCTCTTTTTATCATTATATGTCCCAGGAAATTCATCTGCCTCTTCCTGGGGTTAAGTATAAGCCTCCTCCTTGTTTGCATCCTCTCCAAGACCTCATCGTTGCTCACACGCTCGGTTCATGATATCCTCAGCATCCTTCTGTAGAACTCCTCACTATTACTATTACGAATAAGTGCGTGTTCGGTTACGAACTTATTGATCCATTTTCTTTTATCTTTAATATATTCAGCTTTAGTTTAACACAGTACAAGATTCGTTTGCGTGTATTTTCTTCCAGGACTATGTAATCTGAAGACAATGTTTTATGGCTCTTTTAAGTTTCTAAGACGAAATTGCAAAACTTTCTCTTTTTACCAGACCCCTGAGCGAAATATTACATCAAGGTTTGTGAGAGCTTCATATCACCTCTATCCCATGGCTAACGTGTGGTTTTCTAAGATTTCCTTTCACAAGTCCACTTATCTCGAGTGGCAAATATGCCGATGCTGCACTTTGTTGAAGACCTGGCAACCCCTTGGAACAGCTCCGGCGTAGTCGTGGAATGAACAGTTCTTGAAGAATGAAATGAACAAGTAAGTATAATGGTTAACATTTCATAGAATAAAAAAAAAAGAAAGAGGAAAAAACGTCAGTGGAATTTCTCCGCAGGACTTTTTTGCCCAACCAGATTTGAAGTGAGAATTTTTACGGTCACTGCGCTGTAGAACTTTAATACATTATTTCCGAGGAAAGATACCAGACATGATGAGTTACAAAAAAATGGAGCCCGTCCAATAAAATCACTATTACAATGAACAAGAATTCTTATATTCGTGTTATATATATATATAACACGATATCATATATATATATAAACGTTTGTGGTATCTCTCTTTTAATATTTTATATATATATATATATATATATATATATATATATATATATATATATTTAAGCATTTTTTTTATGTTTAACGTTGTTATTTTATAGATACAAGTATTTAAAAAAAATGCTCTGTTTATGATAAACAGTATTAAATAACATTTACCGGCCTGAATGTCCGAGAAATTGTCGGACCTTGTCCATTTTTTAATATATGACGTCATTTGTTTACATTCGATACGCCAGAATTTTTATGAATGTACGAGATTCATGGAAAGTTGGAGTTTATAAGCAGTAAATTCGATCTTGTCTACCGATTGGTTCTTTGTAGCTCAAGCGGTAAAACTACGTCATTTATATATGACGGTTCCATATAGGATGCAGGTTCGAATCCTGTCAAAGAACGAAAATTTTTTCTATGAAAAAATTATTATACTTTATTTTTCATAATTTTACTACACGAGTTTCTGGTCTCGCGACCGTCATCAGGTACAGGGTGGAGATTTCCACATATTATTAAAACTGATTAATTTTTTTCCTTTATGTTTTTCGTATGTTAAATATTCTCGATATGAGACATTCTCTGTTTTTGTGTTAGTAATCCTAATGTCTTTCTTGAACTGGCAGTGAAGAGTTCTTCGCGAAGGGTCATAAAACAATTAAGACTGGTCCGAGAGAAATGATGAATTAGAGCTAAATCGAGGTAAATAAAGTAAATTATATAAAAAAGAACAATAGACAAAGTGTATTGGGGGGAAAGAAAAAAAATTTAAATGGTAATTAGTTGGAGGCCTAATACAAAGTTCATCTGTTTACATAGAGAAAGCTTTAATGATAGAATATAGATGGCATCCAACCCTTTTAAGTGGTAATTAGAGTGGGATCTGCTATCGATGGTAAAAGCGTCACCACTAAAACTAACACACACTTTTTTTCTCTCTCTCTCCCCCAATACACTTTGTCTATTGTTCTTTTTTTATATAATTTACTTTACTTACCTCGATTTAGCTCTGTTGAGCAAGGTACGAAACCGGTTAGCTAGTCCGTTTTTCATTTTTACTTTTTATTATCATGAGTGGTAATAATAAAACTAATTTTGTCTTTTTCATGGCAGTGATAAAATTTTGTACCACTAAACATATCTTTAAATATATATATATATATATATATATATATATATATATATATATATATATATATATATATATATAGACATTTTTGTTTATACATTCTTTTTATACATACAAATATTTAAGTAAATGCTCTGTTTATAATAAAGAGTATTAATAACATTTACCGGCCTGAATGTCCGAGAAATTTTCGTATCTGCTCAATACATATCCAAATGTAAACATATGAATGTACGTGAAAGATTCATGGAATATTGTAGTTTAAAAGCAGTAAAATAGACTTTGCTAAACGAACGATCCTCTGTGGCTCAATCGGTAAAAGCACGTCAGGCTATATGACGGTTCCGTATAGGATACAGGTTTGATTCCTGCCGGAGGACGAATATTTTCTATGAAAATTTCTCGGACATTCAGGCTGGTAAATGCTATTAATACTGTATATTATGAAACAGAGCATTTAGTTAAATATTTGTATCTATAAAAAGAATGTATAAACTTAAAATAATGGTCGGACTTTGTCCATTTCATATATATACATACGCGCGAGCACACACACACACACACACACACACACACACACATATATATGTGTGTGTGTATGTTCTTAGTATATAGAATCCGGACAAAAATGGAGAAATGAGAGAATTCACAACGATAAACCGAAGACCAGGCTCGTACATAATATCACTGATAATTCCAAAGGCAAGTGTAGGTTTATTTGTTATGCTTGTCTGGTGGTGGGAAGGGGGAATTTTTTTCTGTGTTTGTTTGGCATGACACTCTCATACACATAGACACACATACATACAGGTGTACGCATTTTAGTTCACACAAAGACACCCATATAAACAATCCGAGACCAGGCGGAGATACACATCCATGCATTCGGGTATACATACATACGCAATTTTAATTCTATTTCGGTGTCGGAACCGTAGCTTTTTATGTGTAGCGATGTTCCTATCAACAAGACGCGGGTAGGGGTGTTTTAGACGCTTTTCAGATGTACCGCCTGCTCCCACCATCAAACATAGTCAAGCAAACATAAATAGATCAAATTTAAAAAAAACAAACAGTTTGTCTGATGATCGCAAAAGCGCGAAACGCAGGGCTACAAAATCATATCCATACAACTAAATGTGTTAGCTCTATCGTTGATATTGAATGCTTTCCACTAAGTACTGCATCTACAAAATAATTATAAAATTATTATTTTTCTGTCTTCCATCAGTATGGCTGATGCTGACCTCCAGTAGAGTGTCTCGTTGTGGCTTCTCGGGTTAACATACTCGGTTGACATAAAGTGGAAAGATTACATTGAATCAATTGTTAAGTCAGATGCTAAGAACATTCACTGAGCCATGCTTGACAATCTTTCTCACCAGAATCTATTTTATATATTTATAAGTCTACCACGTCCTGAGTAAGACGTTAAACTACATCCACGTACTAGGTAAGACGATAAACTATGTCCAGCAGCAAAGCTTCTGACCAGGAGGTTTTGAGGAGCGTGGAACCACCTTTTAATTGCTGGAGTTCCCAGGTCCACCCTGACCAGGGGTGGTAGCACTTGTTAGGGTCTCAGCTATGGGCATATAGTTAACTATTGCCAACGATACTTTTTGAAAAGGTTATTACCAGCAAAAATATTACCAGAAACAGATGTTTGACAAAACAAAATATTACCAGCAATAAAGAATTTTGTCTGCATTGAGTAGCCCATTGGGGTTGGTATGCCGTGGGACAAAATAAACCAAACCAATCTAAGCCAAAGAATACATATTCTGTTCATACAAATCTTAAAAATGTTGTCGGCATTAAATAACCCGTTGAGGTTGATATGCCGAAAAATTGAATAAACCAAACCAAACCTATAAGTCTACCGTTTGTTCTTGCTTTGAATATTGTTGCCACATATTTAGAGATTCTTGATAAAATCCAAAGAAGAATCCGTAATGATATTGGCCTTGATCTGGCATCTCACATTCTCACATCCGTAACATAGGTTTTCTGTACCTTTTCTATAAATATTTTTATGGTAATTGTTCTGATGAACTTTCCTCTATAGTACCTAGACTTTATATCCTGAAAGTATTATTTTAGTTTTCTGAGTGTCCCCTGTCTGCCTTCCATCAATATGGCTGATGCTAACCTCCAGGAGAGTGACTCATTAGGCCTTCCCGAGTTAACATTTTCGGCCGACATGAAATGGGAGCACTGAATTAAATTGATTGCTAA